GAAAATGGAAACAACAAGGAAGAGAGGGGTGAAAGTGTGGGTGAGATACAAGCAACTAATGGCAGAAAGGTGGGATAGTGCAAGTATGAGAAGGTGGGGGGGGTTGAAGAGGGTTGGAATAGTTTTAAAAATGCTGTATCAGAATGTGGGTCAGAAGTTTGTGGCTATAGGAGGGTGGGTGCAGGAGGAAAGAGGAGTAATTGGTAGAATGATGAAGTAAAGAGAAAAGGTAGCTTATGAGAGGTTTTTACAAAGCAGAAGTGTTATAAGAAGAGCAGAGTATATGGAGAGTAAAAAAAAGGTGAAGAGAGTGGTGAGAGAGTGCAAAAGGAGAGCAGATGATAGAGTGGGAGAGGCACTCAAGAAATTTTGATGAAAAGAAAAATTTTGGAGCGAGATAAGCAAGTTAAGAAAGCCTAAGGAACGAATGGATTTGTCAGTTAAAAACCGGGTAGGGGAGTTAGTAGATGGGGAGCTGGAGGTATTGGGTAGATGGAAGGAATATTTTGAGGAACTTTTAAATGTCGATGAAGAAAGGGAGGCAGTCATTTCATGCACTGGCAAGGGAGGTATAACATCTTTTAGGAGTGAAGAGCAGGATGTGAGTGTGGGGGAGGTGCGTGAGGCATTACGTGGAATGAAAGGGGGTAAAGCAGCAGGAACTGATGGTATCATGACAAATGTTAAAAGCAATGGGGGATATAGTGTTGGAGTGGTTGGTATTTTTGTTTAATAAATGTATGGAAGAGGGGAAGGTACCTAGGGATTGGCAGAGAGCATTTATAGTTCCTTTATGTAAAGGGAAGGGGGACAAAAGAGATTGTAAAAATTATAGGGGAATAAGTTTACTGTGTATACCTGGAAAAGTGTATGGTAGGGTTATCATTAAAAAAAAATTAGAGGTAAGACAGAGAATAGGATTGCGGATGAGCAAGGAGGCTTTAGAGTGGGTAGGGAATGTGTAGATCAAGTGTTTGCATTGAAGCATATATATGAACATTATTTAGATAAAGGTAGGGAAATTTTCATTGCATTTATGGATTTAGAAAAGGCATATGATAGAGTGGATAGGGGAGCAATGTGGCAGATGTTGCAAGTATATGGAATAGGTAATAAGTTACTAAATGCTGTAAAGAGTTTTTATGAGGATAGTGAGGCTCAGGTTAGGGTGTGTAGAAGAGAGGGAGATTACTTCCTGGTAAAAGTAGGTCTTAGACAGGGATGTATAATGTCACCATGGTTGTTTAATATAGTTATAGATGGGGTTGTGAAAGAAGTAAATGCTAGGGTGTTGGGGAGAGGGGTGGGATTAAATTATGGGGAATCAAATAAAAAAAAATTGACACAGTTACTTTTTGCTGATGATACTGTGCTTATGGGTTATTCTAAAGAAAAGTTGCAAAGGTTAGTGGATGAGTTTGGGAGGGTGTGTAAAGGTAGTAAGTTGAAAGTGAACATAGATAAGAGTAAGGTGACAAGGGTATCAAATGATTTAGATGAAGAAAAATTGGATATCACATTGGAGAGAGGGAGTATGGAAGAAGTGAATGTTTTCAGATATTTGGGAGTTGATGTGTCACCAGATGGGTTTATGAAGGACGAGGTTAATAGTAGAATTAATGAAGGAAAAAAGGCGAGTGGTGTGTTGAGGTTTATATGGAGACAAAAAGCATTATCAATGGAGGCAAAAAAGGAAATGTATGAAAGTACATATAGTGGTACCAACACTCTTATATAGGTGTGAAGCTTGGGTTGTAAATGCTGCAGTGAGGAGATGGTTGGAGGCAGTGGAGATGTCCTGTCTAAGGGCAATGTGTAGTGTAAATATTATGCAGAGAATTTGTAGTGTGGAAATTAGGAGAAAGTGTGGAGTTAATATCCACACATGTTGATGGTAGTAAGGATATTCAGCCCTAGATATGAAAGCCCATTCTTCCGCTAAGAGAGGTAAATGGTAGATAACTGGTTTAGAGAACTGACAGTTGATGAATTAAACACTTTTGCAACACTTGGCTATCTTTATTGTGGAAGCATTTTGCCAACCACTGCTTTCCTCAGTCCAATACATAGAAGAATGTTTGAAGATCAGAAGGAGTTTGAAATAATCATTCCCTCAGCCTGGAGTTAATATATTCAGTCCCTCAGCCTTGAAAAGATTGTATTGGACTGAGGAAGCCACTGGTTGGTGAAACACTTCCACAATAAAGATGCCCAAGTGTTACATAAGTGTCTAATTCATCAAGATGTACATTGTTCAAATTTAAACTTTTACTATTTTTTCCTCGGTTACCTCGTTGCCAAACACATCACAGCCTCGTTTTCACATTTGCTTGGTTGTAGATGAATATTTATTTTTATAGCTTTTTTGTAACCTAACCTCTCTTTTTTTTTCAACAAGTCGACCCAAAAAGAAAGAAAATCCCCAAAAAGAAAATACTTTCATCATCATTCAACACTCACCTCACTCATACATAATCACTGTCTGCAGAGGTGCCCAGATACAACAGTTTAGAAGCATATATGAAGATATATAATATATCCCTCCAAACTACCAATATCCCAAACCCCTCCTTTAAAGTGCAGGCATTGTACTTTCCATTTCCAGTACTGAAGTCCAGATATATAAAAGTATGTAACCGGTTTCCCTGAATCCCTTCACTAAATATTACCCTGCTCACACTCCAACAGTCTGTCAGGTCCCAAAAACCATTAGTCTCCATTCACTCCTCTCAAACATGCTCATGCATGCTTGCTGGAAGTTCAAGCCCCTTGCCCACAGAACCTCCTTTACCCCCTCCCTCCAACCTTTTCGAGGATGACCCTTACCCCTTTCCCTACAAATTTATATGCTCTCCATGTCATTCTACTTTGATCCATTCTCTCTAAATGACCAAACCACCTCAACAAACCCTCTTCAGCCCTCTGACTAATACTTTTATTAACTCCACACCTTCTCCTAATTTCCACACTCCGAAATCTCTGCATAATATTTACACCATACATTGTCCTTAGACAGGACATCTCCACTACCTCCAACTGCCTCCTCGTTGCAGCATTTACAATCCAAGCTTCACACCCATATAATAGTGTTAGTACCACTATACTTTCATACATTTCCTTCTTTGCCTCCATAGATAATGTTTTTTGTCTCCACATATACCTCAACAGACCACTCACCTTTTTTCCTTCATCAATTCTGTGGTTAACCTCATCCTTCGTACATCCATCTGCTGACATGTCAACTCCCAAATATCTGAAAACATTCACTTCCATACTCCCTCTCTCCAATGTGATATCCAATTTTTCTTTATCTAAATTGTTTGATACCCTCATCACCTTACTCTTATCTATGTTCACTTTCAACTTTCTACCTTTACACACCCTCCCAAACTTGTCCACTAACCTTTTCAACTTTTCTTTGGAATCTCCCATGAGCACAGTATCATAAGCAAAAAGTAACTGTGTCAACTCCCATTTTGTATTTGATACCCCATAATTTAATCCTACCCCTCTCCCCAACACCCTAGCATTTTCTTCTTTCAGAACCCCATCTGTAATTATATTAAACAACCATAGGGACATTACACATCCCTGTCTAAGACCTACTTTTACCGGGAAGTAATCTTCTTTCCTACACACCCTAAGCTGAGCCTCACTATCCTCATAAAAACTCTTTACAGCATTTAGTAACTTACTACCTATTCCATATACATACTTGCAACATCTGCCACATTGCTCCTCCAGCCATTCTATCATATGCCTTTTCTAAACCATAAATGCAATGAAAACTTCCCTACCTTTATCTAAATACTGTTCACATGTATGCTTCAATGTAAACACTTGATCTACACATCCCCTACCCACTCTAAAGCCTCCTTGCTCATCTGCAATCCTACTCTCTGTCTTGCCTCTAATTCTTTCAATAATAACCCTACTGTACACTTTTCCTGGCATACTCAATGAACTTCTTTCCCTATAATTTATACAGTCTCTTTTGTCTCCCTTCCCTTTATATAAAGGAACTATACATGCTCTCTGCCAATTCCTAGGTACCTTCCCCTCTTTCATACATATATTAAATAAAACTACCAATCATTCCAACACTATGTCCCCCCCTTGCTTTTAACATTTCTGTCATGATCCCATCAGTTCCTGCTGCTTTACCCCCTTTCATTCTATGCAATGCCTCATCACCTTCCCTCTGCTCAAATCCTTCTCTTCTTCACTCCTAAAAGATGGTATACCTCCCTGTCCAGTGCATGAAATTACCGCCTCCCTTTCTTCATCGACATTCAAAAGTTCCTCAATATATTTCTGCCATCTACCCAATACCTCCAGCTCATATATAACAAAAAAAAGGCACAATAATATGACTGGAACATTAGTGTGACTTTGTAAATGGTCCAAGTCAGACCGAAACGCTGTAAGCTTCTCTCTTCTATGTGTGGGTTATTTGTGTACCTCCAGCTCCCCATCTACTAACTCCCCTACTCTGTTTTTAATTGACAAATTCATTTGTTCCCTAGGTTTTCTTAACTTGTTTATCTCACTCCAAATTTTTCTTTTTATATTCATCAAAATTTCTTGACAGTGCCTCTCCCACTCTGTCATCAGCTCTCCTTTTGCACTCTCTCACCACTCTCTTCAACTTTCATTTACTCTCCATATACTCTGCTCTTCTTATAACATTTCTGCTTTGTAAAAACCTCTCATAAGCTACCTTTTTCTCTTTTTATCACACCCTTCATCATTCCACCAATCACTCCTCTTTCCTCCTGCACCCACCCTCCTAAAGCCACAAACTTCTGCCCCACATTCTAATACTGCATTTTTAAAACTATTCCAACCCTCTTCTTATCTAGATTAATGTAACATTACTTACAATAAAGAAAATGATTTGGAGAAAAATAGGAAACTTAAGAATTAATGTTTAAAAAAAAAAACATGGCAAACTGATTATTTAAAATAGGAAAGGGTTGGTTATGGGTATGTGTACTCACCACTGCTGTAAAACTGGAAGGAGAGTTGTGAGGCATCAATGCCTACTGAGATAGGTCCAACATCCCTGATGGCCGTGTGCAGGGCGCTCTCACTCCCGGACTCAATGAGAACATAGCCATTGCAGGTCGCACCAATTTCTGTATCATCGTAGCGGCAGGTTCCATCCTAGACAGAAGAGAGGAAAATCTGGTATTGTGATCATTAGCAAGACTAGAAACTTGATCAAACTATTTTTTTCATTCTGTATATATGTAATGCACTTTGAGTACTCGTGCTACTTACTGATGGCCCGTTGGGATAGGTGTCTGCTGTGTTAATGCCTCCATTCACTTCTACATATATAAAGGCATTAATCACTGATCCAAAGTAATCATCCATACAGTCAAGGAGCTGCTGCTCTGAAAGTTTCACCAGGTTCCCTGTTTTGGTGAAATGCTGGCCCTCCAAGGCTCCTGTCTAGGTGGAAAGATAGGTTAGGCTTGTCTTCCATATCTAGCTCTAAAGAAATTTTTTTTAGTCAACCATGCTTAATACAGGTCCACCATCACAAATCCAGCAATCAGTTTTTCGGTTCTTTCAGTTATTCGGCACTAATTTTGGCTAGCATAATTTCAAATTTCCAGGGTCGCCACACCAACCTGCTGGTACTGTTTGGTGGTGCTACTTGCTGCATAAGTCATTCCAATTTCTTTTTCTCCATTTATTGTTTTAACCCTGCTTACTTTTAGCCCTAGCCAGGGGTTCCAATAAATAAAAGAAATGTTCTCATTTTTTAAAAAGCACCTACACATACTTTACCCTTAAAAGATAAGGGGGTTTGAAGCCACTTCAGTTGCCATGAGCTCAGCTGAACAGGAGAATAGCTTTACATTCGCTAAAACCAACACACACTTATTTGCCTATCACAATGACAAATAGACATAAAAAAAATTTTTAAATAACAAAAAACATGTTAAATATCCCAGAATGAATAATATTTGGCAAAACACCGAGCATTCGCAAGTTATGAAGGGGTAGGGAAACAAATCCCATTTTCCTATCCCTGTCTTGGGGGAGAATTAGAAAAAAACGGAGTATAGCACGGGGCTAACTTGTTACCAAAACTCCACCTAAAAAAAAAAAAAAGTTATTTTTCCTAAGATTATAAAAGCAGCATATTTTAGAGAACCTAGGTAACCAAAAAAAAAAGTCAACATGGCTTTTTTTTAGTACCGACGGGTTACCCCAAAAAATTTGTTTTTGGTAAATTTCGTTTTCCCAGCCAGGGTAAAAACTTGGGGCGTGTTCTTTACACCGTTTTGTCATGTTTCCCTCAAAAATGGGTCCGGGGTGTTAGTCCTGTGTGGGGTTACCCCGGGACCTGACCAATTTTTTGAAATACTTGCAAAGTCCTTTTTCAAACAGTAGTTTCACTGATGTCACTAGTATCCCTTTGACATGTATGGTAGTAAATAAAGAATTATTATTATTATTATTATTATTATTATTATTATTATTTTTATTATTATTATTATATTATTTTTATTTTCCATTGTTTTTTTGGTTTATCTTATTCAAACTTGGGCAATGTATGAGGGAAAAGATCTTTTTTCACGTACACCAAAAATGAAAAAATCAGCCAAAAATAGCGGTTTTCACTCACCATTAGGCCTCTTAGGATATTTTTGTATGGTTGTTTTTTTGGGTTTTTTTCTCATTTTTTCGGCTATTTGTACAGTGAAAGATTATTACAGAAAAGAATGATTTTTTATTGCTTTCATGACGAAAAGTACCTTGAAATTTCGCCACGTACGAAAATGTTCTATTTTTTAGCGAACTCAAGAGTAAACAAAAAACTCCCGCCAATACCGTCCCCTACCCCAAAATTTCCGTACAGAGTCAAGAATGGGTTGACTTATTTTTTTCAATTATTACAATAAAGCAGTAGTCTGCATAAAATTTAAATCTTCTATTTTTTTTTTTTTTTTTTTTTTTTTGTGAATAAAAATTCCAAATGGGAACAAAAGGGAATATAAAGGGGCCTGGGGCCATGACTAATGAAAAAAAAATGTTATTTTAGTCCAGGAATGTCTACATTGTTTATTTTGGATCCATTTTTGAAAATTTGGGACTGTTGAAATTTGTGGAAATCGGGAAAAATTCCATTTCTGACCACTTTATTGGTTGTTGAAATAAGGGAAAGGCATTTCTTGTACTCAGTTGACAGACTGAAGTAAATAAGTTTTTTTTTCAGGTATACACAAAAAACAGTTTCTAGATTATATACATAGCAGCTATGTATAAGAACCCGGGGTAAACCCCGAAAAGTTAACAAATGACTTATTTCCAGTATGGCTTGGGGTTTGCCATATATTTTTTTGGTAAAATTTTTTTTTTTCGGGTTTTTTTTTTGGGCTATCCTTGAAATTGGGGAATGAATGGGAAAATGCTTCTTAACTAAACAAAAATAAAAAAGACGTACGATAAATAAGGGAGTTCACTTCTCGGCCATTAGCCGCCTTTTTGCAGTATATTTTCGTATGGTTTTTATGGTTGTATTCTCATTTTTTGGACTCATTTGATAGAATGGAAGATATATCACAGAAATAGACATGAATTTGATTGCTTTCATAACGAAAAGTACCTTGAAATTGAGCTCAAAGTAGCGGAAATGTTTGATTTTTGCTGATGTTCAATGAACTGTGTGAGTCAAGTTGGTTAATTTTATTAAGTGTATTCTAACCTAACCACTCTGTAATTTGGCAAACTCAGTAATCTGGCACACTACAGGTCCCAATGGTGCCAAATTTGTGATGGAGGGCCTGTATACAGATTGCAGGAAATAATGAGAAGGTAAAGAACCACATTAATTAATATAAATTACTTTTTTGAACATCTAACACACTGGCCATCTTCCACCAAGGTAGCACATTCACCATCATTTACTTAATTACTGTCTTGCCAGAAGTATGCCTGACATAACAGTTCAAGCTGCCACATCCTCACCCTTCTTTCAGAATGCAGGCACTGTACAGTAAACCCTCTTTATAAGGGATCTCTATAAAGTAGGTAGCAAATACACTTTTGTTGTGAATTTTTGAAGCTTTCAGTTCTGTAGTGTTACATACTAAGATGCTGAGTTTTCTTATCTGATGGACCAGTAGTCTTGTAGTGCATAGATGCAGTGGATGGGATTGGAGACAAATCTCATCTGTTTATTTTTTCTGTCTTAAATAGGATGGTGATATTAGTCCTCGGGTACCTTTGGCATTCTGTGCTTTAAAGGATATATAATATGACTACTATAGCCATACTTTGGCATTGTGATTGTTGTCTTATATATTGAGTCAGGAATCTGAATTCAGGCCTGAGGGAAACACCTGTCCCTCCTGTCAGGATTTCAAAGTTTTATTATGGTACCTGAAGTGAAAGTGTTTTCTTGATCTTTATGCTAGAAGTTATGCCACATGCAAAAAAGTTAAACCTCAGTCTCTCAGAACTTTGAGACCTTTACCCCTTTCAAGGTTGAGACCTTGGGTCTCATACTTGCTCTCAGGTTCGAAGAATTTAAAAAAAAAAAAAAATTCTCTGAAATAACAGAGAATCTTTTTCCGAAGGTAATGGAACCAAAAGTACAAAAATTTGATGGAAAACTCGTGGAATTACGCTCTCACAAAGTTAATGGTCTCAGCGATATTTACACCGGTGATTTTGCTCACTTTGCGCCCTATTTTTTGGCCGATTCCATTGTTCAAGTCACCCAAACTCATAGCTATTCGTTCTATTCTTTTGGTTAAGTACAGGAAACCACCCATTTACCTGTTTCAACTATCTAGTAAAGTGATCAGAAATCAGTAATTTGGCCAGTTTCACACAAAATTCAAAAATTGCCATTTTAAAAATAGGGTCCAGAATAAACAGTACAGTGGACCCCCAGATTATGACGTTAATTCGTTCCAGAGAGCGTGTCTTATACTGAATCTTTTGTAATACGAATTAATTTTTCTCATAAGAAATAATGGAAATCCAATTAATCTGTTCCAGACACCCAAAAGTACTAAACAAAACCATTTTTTTTACATGAAATATACATTTCCCTACACAGAAAACAATGAGACATGCAGAATAAATAAATAATAAAATGACACTTATCTTTATTGAAGACTTATTGATGAGTGATGAGACGGGAGGAGAGGAGGGGATAGAGGTGTACTAGTGTTTGGAAAGGGAATCCCCTTCCATAAAGACTTCAGGTACCAAAACCTTATCTGGGGTTACTTCCCTTCTTTGTTTTTTAATGCCACTAGGACCAGCTTCAGAGTCACTGGACCCCTGTCGTACAAAATATCTGTCCAGAGAGCTCTGTTTCTGGCATCTCTAAGATTTCCCTAAAATGGGACACAACATTGTCATTGTAGATGTTGCCTGCATGGTCTGCAACAGCTGTATCAGGGTGATGTTCTTCCATAAATATTTGTACATAAGAAAGCAGGAACACTGCAGCAGGCCTGTTGGCCCATACTAGGCAGGTCCTTCACAAACCATCCCACTAACAGAATCGTATTTGCCCAACCCAATTTTCAGTGCTTCCCAAGCAATAAGCTTTGATAATGGAGACAAATGGTTTTTAATACTTGACGTGCTGTTGGAGTGTGAGCAAAGTAACATTTATGAAGGGATTCAGGGAAACCGGCAGGCCGGACTTGAGTCCTGGAGATGGGAAGTACAGTGCCTGCACTCGAGGAGAGAGAGAGAGATTTTTGGGAGATTTCAAGTGAAATGTATAGGAGGACCTATGAACCAGTAGAGATAATTGTGGTAGTGGGAACCTGAATGCTAAGTAGGGGAGAACCTTTTAGAGAGTGGTGTGGTAGGCTTAAGTCTTGGGGTGCAGGTTTAAATGATAATGTGAGCCCTTTGAATTGAACTTTGTATAGAAAGGGTTTTTTGAGTTATAGGTAATACATAATTAAGACTAAAAGAGGATAAATAAGTATACAGAAATGAGAGTGGCGAAATGACAGTAGATTGTTGATTAGTATTGGTAGATAAAAGACTGTTGAGTAGACTTCAGGATGTACATTGTTTATAGAGCGCCACAGATATATCAGATGCACTTACTATGTTGTCGCTACCTGAGAGTAAACGTTTAGTATGGGATACGAAGAGAATCGAAACATCAGGGAAGAGAGAGGTGAAGTGTTATAAACTAAAAGAGGCTGCAGTTAGGGAAAGATATAAACAGTTATTGGAGGATTGATGGGCTAATGAGAGCAAAGGCAATGATCGAAGAGTGTAATGTGGTTAGGTTTAAAAATGTAGTGTTAAAGTTTGCAGGCAGAAGTTTGTGGTTAGCAGAAAGTGGTGTCGGTGAGGGGAGAGGAGCGATTGGTGAATGATGATGTTAAAGAGAGTAGTAAGGGAGAAAAGTTAGCATATAGAGTTATTTACAAAGTAGCAAGTGATGCAAGGAGGGA